AATATATATATATATATATATATATATATATATATATATACTTTTAAAAAGAGTATGATTAAAGAATATAAATATTTATATATTATTGTGGAAAAGTTTATAATAAAAGAAATCAATAAACTTATATTTTAATTTCATCGCTAAGGATGAATGAATTTGATTAAATAAATTAAACAGTGAAAATTGAAGGAAAAGAAGAGAAAAGAAATATCTAATTACGTTTATTTAAAAATGATATATTTTCAAGGGAAAAAAAATCTAACTAGCTGGTACTTAAGACATACACTTAGAATCATTAATTTGACATTTTATTTTCTTTAACTAATTAAAAATTGATATTGGATTCTTAGCTTAAATTTAAAATGGCAACCGAAAATACCAATAGCCTTTTATAGGAGTGTAGTAGTTCAGCATAACCCAAATGTATAGTTACTCGATATATAGTTTAATATATGCTTTCATTTTTCATCCTCCAACACTAAGAGTATCCCTGATAGAGTGCTAGTTAATATTTGCATATCAATTCAGATTTTGTCAAGCTGATATGTCATGTATGTTACATCTACCCCGATAACGAAAAACAAGATTCATGCATATATATTTTTCCCCGTAAAACAAAAACATACAGGTTTATTCACGGGAAACATGATATGAAATAGGATAAAAAGAAACACTTAGAGTGGACGTAGATAGTCAAGTAATATAGATAGTCACACAATGCATGCATGGGATGAGACGTGTGAAGGATTGAATGCAAAAAAAGACAAAGAATATATATGGAGAGGGAAAGGGACACAAGGGTAGATTATTGTGAAGCTGACCTGCAAGTATGAGAGAAGTTGAGATGAATTCGGAGAGAGAAAGCAAAAGAGAAGAAATGTGTGTGTGTGTGCAAAAGACATGAATGGAGTGGCCAATGATTTATAGGCAACACAAAAGAATACAACACAAGATATGCAAATTAATTAAAGGGAAAAACCAGAGTTACCCCAAATATTCCATAAGCATATACCCCCGCTTTTTCGTGCTCGATCTATTAGCTCCATTCAACCTCTATTGTGCATTTGTGCTCCTACAATGCGCTTTTCCTTATTGCTCTTGGATTAATTTATTATTATTACTTTGCTTTTGTGAAATTTGTTATTTTGTAAAAAGTTCTAATTCATACCAATTTAATTTTCACTTTCATAGTTAAAAAAATTTTAATCTCCTTTCTTCTCCATCTCTCAAAATCAATGGATGTTAACTAATATTTGTTAGTTCAATTGATGTTGTAATTAGTTCTCAAATCTCAAGATACAAAAACACATAAAGTCAATGATACTCTCTCTTCACTTGAGAACTCTTATGAGGTCTACTTTTTCCCTAAATATATTGTAAAAATAATTTTAAAATATCTAATTATTTTACTTAAAAATTCTAAAACTTAGTTACAATTTTTTTTTCATTCATAAAAATTAGAATGACCGTAATAGAATTAAAATATAACATCATGTGTATATTATCCAATAAATTAGTTAAAAATTAAAAAAAATGAATTGAGTAAAAAACTAAGTACCTTGATTCAAAATTATTCCATTGAATTAAATGAAGTACGCAGATAAAGTTACGTGTTTTACTCAAGGTAATATATGTCTCTCTCTATCTAGTCTCTAAATTTTAAAAATTATTTGATATTTTGTTATATAAATTTAAATCAATGTATGAAATATTTTTATGATTATTCATCGATTTAAATTAATAAAATAAAATATTAAATAATTTTTAAATTATTTACAATTTATAGATTTAATTTATATATTAAAAAAATAGTTTAATAATTAAATCGTTAAAATTTAATATAAATCATAAACTATTGAATAAAATGAATTTAGGTCAACTTATTATTAGGTATGTGTGACCTTAAAAAGATTATGTATATAAATGCATAATAACTTAGCTTTTAAATGGAGGGAGTATATTTGTGGCAGAAAGGTCCACTTTTATGTCCTAAAAAAATAACAAGATAATTAATATGTTTCTGCCGGGGGCTTATGTTGTTTTGGGAAGAGATATGATTATTGTCACTAGTGAAAGTGGTGCAAGTCAAAAGGAATATGTAATGCATAAAAGTCACACGCTTCATATATCCTCCATTTACTTGCCATGATGTTACTCCATGTGCATTTCCTTTTTGTCCTAAACTACTTCGGCGTTCAATCATGTCCATTTTTGAGGGCCATGGTTTAAAGGAGATCTATAGAGCTTGCATATTCTTAACCTCAAATTCACCATTTATATAAAATATCCCACGCACTAGATATACATATAATGGACAGTTTGGTAGCTTTTCTCCTTTTTAAGCTCTTAATGTTGGGTATGTTGGAGATCACCAATGACCTTAGTGCGAAGTATAATGAAGAGAGAAACTGGACAAAGAAATTAAAGTCACACATTTCGTCTCCCTTTAACTGTAACGACTTTGAATTGTTTACATATGGGGTCAGTTCAAATTATTTTACCATTATATTAATAAGCTATTCTCGAGAAACACATCTACAAGAAAAAAGTAAAAATAAATAAATAAATAAATAAACCTCTCTTAAAGTTGAAACTAACTCTTAAGAAGGTGAGAATAAGAATGAATCTAATGTAGACGATAAAGGGTGAGACAAGTTGAAATTGAAACTAATGAAATTAGTCATGACAATGCCAACTAAAACAATAAAAGAAAATTCAAGATTTGTTGTACCTTTGGATATGCTCCATTGTCAGGGAGAGGACGACTTAGGACCAAACAACCTTTTACTCGTCTATGCGACTTTGTGACCAACAATGTCAAGAGGTTAAGTCCATCCGGTCAGTGTTTTAGTTGCAGGTCCGACCAGTCGGTTGAATCAAGAACAGGTAGTTTAGTCTATCTTAATTTTGAGTTGGATCATTCATACATTTGACTCGTTCAACAACAGATCATAAAACTCTACTCATAAGAGTATAAAGAGTTTTATCAAAGATTATAATGTCCAATTATTCTGATATATTTATTTATAATATGTGCAATTTAAATAAGTTTTATAATATATTATTAATTTTAAATTATATATTTAACAATATTATATATATTATTTTGTAATATCAATTACAATTATATTATATATATACATTATTTATATTTTTAATTTATATTAATATATAATTTAACATGTAACTTTTTCATATATGTTTTATACAAAATAAAAATAAATTTAAATTTAAATAAGATGAAATTAAAATTTAAAATATGGTATAAATTTATTAAAATTTATAAATATAAAATATATTCAATATGAATTTAAAAAAAATTAATAAAAATTGAATCATACGATTTAATTAGTGATCTGTCGATTTAATTTTTGACCCACTAATTAATCAAATACCCTAATTAATTTAATGACATATCCAATTTTTAAAATTATATATCCAATTGTTCATACATCCAATTATTCATCTCTCCAAAAGCAAACTCAAGTGAATCTTATTCCATAATAAATTATGTGAGTTTTGTGACAATTTTTCTTTTATGTATATTTCTTAGAAAAAGGAACTTATCGCATTGAAGCGATGAAAAATGGGCAACAGAAGGAAGCCATGAAGTAAGAAAATTAATATGCAATTGTAGTAACAATATCTATATTATATATTCGTGTAATTATAGTAACATGATGGAGGAAGCCCATGGGCTAAGGGCCCAACTACTAGGGCTATGGCAAGGATGATGCATGAAGAGTGGGCTCAAGCCCAAGGAAAGCCCACCACTTTATTTTGTTGGGCTTTGTCTCAAGCCCATTAGATTAGGGTTAGTGTAGGATTGGGCCTTAGTGCCTTGTATTTCTTTTGGCCTTGTATTTCCGGCCATGTAGCATAGGAATTTCATTTCATGGTCATTTAGATTTAGGGTTAATTTAGGTTAACATGTTCACTTGCATTTGAATGTCATTAGTATGACATTTGAAGGTGCATTTCGACCATGTGCACACATGCACATGGTGTGACCGAAATGCAACTCAAATGGATACTAAATCACATCCAAATGAGTGCACATGGAGGGGGTGGCCGGTTGGCACCAAAATTTGAATTTTAGAATTCAAATTTTGGCGCCTAGAGTTAAGTTAACCATACCATGGTTTTACTTAACTCTAGGTGAACCCAACTTAAACCCTTAACCTAATTTCACCTATAAATCTTCCCATGGCCGAGTTTTGTATCACTTTTGGAATATTTGAATGAGAATTCTCTTCTTAGAAATCTCCTCTCCGAAAGTCACCTAGGTTCCCTACTCTACCCTCCTTGAGTGCTTCTCTTTGTAGAGCTAGGACACCTTTACTTCTTTGGACTTAGCTTGAATGCAAGCTTAGGTCACCTTGCACCTTTGAGGCGTCTCCATTCCTTGAAGTTTCATCCAAGGAATTCCGTGAAGGTGTGAAGAATCCATGTGCATCCAAGTGGAAGCACATCATAACAAAGCATACTCTTGTAATTATGTTGAAAAAGGCACATATTCTGGTAATTATATAATAGAGATATATAATGTGAGGATGAGAACGAATTAGGATTTACTCCACATATGAACTTTTTGGCCCAAATAAATTAAAAAGAAAAATAAATACATGAAATAAATAAATAATTTTTTTTACCATTTTAGGTGATTTCTGTCATGTGACAGAATTATTAAATGGCCCAGAAATTTTGTAAACAGACAAAATGTGAATGGATGACATATGGAACCACCCGCTCCATCTGTTTTCTGACACTCTGTTGCACCTGTCATGTTTGCGTTAGCTTTTGACTGACGTAACACAGGAGCCCCTTACGCTTTGCTTGCCTTTTAGATGGTGCATGGGGTCCCTGCTCCATCCATGTAACGTCCCTTTTCCTCCTCTGTGTGTCCTATTCCTCCTTCTCTTCCCCGTCTCCAATATAAATTCATTCTCACCCTTCTCTCTCATTCCTAACCTCATTCTTCCCTTCTCCTCCTCCGCATGTCTTGCTCCTCTTTCTCTTCCCCCTTCTCCTCAATAAATTCATTATGACCCTCCTCTCTCATTCCCAACTTCCTTTTTCCTTACTCTTGTAAGTTAATTTTTTTTATATATAATTTCTTATTTATTTATTTATATATGTTAACGTTTTGAATAATTTTTTGTGTTATTTTACATGGATGGAGCAGGGGTCCCCATGTGTCATCTAAAAATCAAGTAAAGCATAGGGGACCCATGTGTCACGTTAGTCAAAAACTAACATGGATGTGACAGGTGTGGCAAAGCGCCAGAAAACAGATGGAGCAAAGGGTCTCATGCGCTATCTATTCACGTTTTATCCGTTTACAAAATGGTTGTTTCTTCTGCACCATTTAACCATTGTGCCACATGACATAAATCACCTAAAATAATAAATTATTATTATTTATTTATTTCATATATATATTTTAATTTATTTGAGCAAAAAAGCCCCACATATAACTTTGTTCTCTTACACGGTCTACGTTGGTAGGCTAACCACCGTCACAATTCAAAAATAAAGGCTGATTTGATACACTGGATTTTCTGGCTTTTTCACCATTATAAATTAAAAAAAAAATAAAAATTACTAAAATAAAATAAAATAAACTATTATCAAACTAAATACTTTCAGTCACGTAGGAAAGGGACGGAGAAAAGAAAACATAGGGAGAGGTGACGATTTTCGAAAAACGTCAAGCACCATAACGTTTTACTTACATTTAACCACCACATAAAAGCATGCATGCAGGAACGGAACGCAGAAGACGGGTAACTTTTTTGACCAGCAGAGAATCATGCAGGGGAACCAGCTTTTTGACCAGCAGAGAATCATGTAGATTTTGACTAGTAGAGAATCATGCAGATTGCAGGGGAATCATTCAGAAAAGCAACA